TGATAATGTCAAAAGACACCAGTCTGAAATGACTCAAGATATAATAATAATAATAATAATAATAATAATAATAATAATAATAATAATAATAATAATAATAATAATAATAATAATGATAAAGTTGGAAGGGACCTCGGAGGTCATCTAGTCCAACCCTATACCATTTCGGACAAATGGCTGTCCAGTTTCTTCTTAAAAACTTCCAGTGTTGGAGCATTCACTGTTTCTGGAGGCAGGTTGTTCCACTGGTTAATTGTTCTAACTGTCAGGAAGTTTCTCCTTAGTTCTAGGTTGCTTTTCTCTTTGGTTAGTTTCCACCCGTTGCTTCTTGTCCTGCCTTCAGGCGCTTTGGAGAATAGCCTGACTCCCTCTTCTTTGTGGCAGCCCCTAAGATATTGGAACACTGCTATCATGTCCCCCCTCGTCCTTCTCTTCGTTAAACTAGACATACCCAATTTCAGCAACCGTTCCTGAAGCTACCATCCTTTTGATTGTTTTATCTAATTATGGCAACTTACAGTGGCTTGCCTAAGAGATCTGAAACTGTACAAGGTTTAGAAGAGTTTCAATCATTGCTTCCTTTAAACAAAAATCTTCAAAAAAATTTGTAATATTAATTATGATACTTATAATAACTTTCAAACTAGTATTGAGAAGCCACATTGGGCAAGGATACAGGACCACTGGTCAAATGTGGCTTCCCAAGCAGCCTGACAACTTTGTTGAGAGGACATTATAACGTATGTATAAGAAATGTATAAGAAATGTCTTCTGATAATTAAGTAATGTTATGAATCATAGTTTGAAACCCTGACAGCCAGTTTGATATAGTTGTTAAGGCACCATGCTATGAGTCTAGTCCCACCTTATACCCCTTGGGCCACTCACTCTCTCTTGAGTCCTAAGAAACAGGCAATGGCAAACCACTTTTGAAATATAATATTGCCAAGAAAACTGCCATTGCCCCCTCAAAAGCAATCATAATTAAATGACTGTTAACTATGACATAGTTAAAAAAAGTACATCACTCCATTATGGTTTACACCTATAGAACAGAATGATGGAATTATCCAAACTTGAAGTATTCACTAAATGAAATCTTATATGATAGAAGTGATTGAGTTTGTTAATTCTAAATGTTGCTTACTTTGCCCACAAATGAGTTATAATTTATTTTCAAAACAAATATGTCAGCAGTAATTTCTCCAGTAGGATATGATATATTAAAGTTAATTGAATTCTTTAAGTGAGTATATATTTCAAAACTAATTACTATAGAAAAATCTCAGTCTGGGAATTTTCAAGTACTTAAGGATATAATTTTCTTATACTTCTGTTAGGAGAATGTTTCTTAAAAATCAATGACATTTACTTCTGAGGAGATAGGCAGAGAGCTTTACAACATACTTGTGTTGTAAAATTATTTTTCCCCATTTAGGAGGATTCGTTTGAGTATGCATTAGCTCTGATCCCTGCTGCACCATTTATGTGAAGATCAGATTAGAGGGAAAACTGCATCTTTGGGCCTACTGAAGCATTCACCCTTGAAGATGATGTGCATTAGAACCATTAAGATGTGTGAACTTGCGGAATTTGTGAACAGTGTGTAGAGTTGAAATCCACACATCTTAAAGAGGCTGAGGTTGAGAAACATTGTACTAGGAGGATTTTCTCTCTCACACTCATTCTCTCTCACACATACACAATAGCAGGAAGTGAGATCAAATGAGGACAGCAAATGTTCCCCAAGTGTTGACTGAGGTTAAGCAACAGGAGAAATTGAGGCAGTCTAGAAGCAGCCCGTTACCAATAGCAAAAGAGATGTTGGAGAAGATCAACTTGGTTTGGAATCCCTACCACTTTTGTCTAAGGGAGGAAACCTATAGAAAACAAATGTTTGCATCTCAAGGGAAGACTCACTTCCAGAAATGCATGAGGAAGAATGCAATATCCCCGAGGTGGCAAGCGAAAAGAGAAAAAAAAGATCCCCAAAGACATTCAATTGATGGGAGAATTTCTGGGTTCCTTCTGAGCTAGGAAGCAATCAAGGTGTGAAGGCTGTCTGCTTTTGGAAAGGAGGTTTCTTTATTATTATTCCAGAATCAATACAAGGTTTGCTTTTGGGGACAGCTGACCACAGATTGGCACATTAATAAGATTTTTATATTGTTTTGAGCCCTTTGTATAAGGCAGGAGATCATAAGAGTGTGAGTTTTATGGCACAGAGAAACAGGAAACACAGGTGTGATACTTTTATGATCACAGAAACTTAGAAAATATTTTGTCTGTTATCTCCTTCATCAGGAAAGGTCTTCCTGGCCAGGCAGAGGTGCTAAATTCCCAAGGTTTTTAAATTTTGATTGGCTCCAGTGCCAGATTCCTGCCTGTCAGTGATTTATTGCCTTTAAGGAAACATTGAATTTTGTGAGCAGAGATGGGTTTCTCTGACCTTAGATCAGAAGCCTGTTAAAAGGTAGGGGACAGATCAAAAGTTTTTTGACTTCTACCACAAGCATAAGACTCCAGGTGGAGGACAGAATACGTAACTTATTTTTTAAATTTTATTTGATATATTAATATATAGCACTGTAGAAGATTGTTATTACTATATATAAACTTTCTGATACTTTTTATTTTTAATTGCTACAATGCCATCTCCTTTTTAAAAATATTACTTGGAAGAACTTTAAATCTCAATAAATCGTTATATAGATTTCATTCATAAATGTATGCAGGTATTTTGTTTCTGTGAAAGGATTAGACTTCTGCATTCTTATAAATACAAAAATATAAATATGCTGATAGTGATTTTATGAAATAGAGAAGGCATGCCAGCTGACTCTGGCATAAAAATGTTAATTATTGGATTCTCAGAAGAAGGAGCTATGGTTTACATTAATATATTTATTATTAATAATATCCATATCTTTGATACTAGATTTAATCCTGCCTTTCATTCAGGAAATTAAGGATGTGTACATAACATTGACTTATCACAAGATTTTATTTTCCTCACAAGAACCCCATGAGGTAACTTGGCCTGAGTGACCATCTCAGAGTGATAGAATGAGCTTCCAATGTTGGGAATGGATACGAATTTGGTCTTTCTAGTCCAGTATTTGAACTATACTATCCTGCCTAGCTATTCTCATTAAAAAGAATGGCACTCATATTGAACTCTATTCTTTTTTTTAAAAAAATGGTAAACAATGTTGACAATATTTGGAGTTCAATTCACTAAATATTCTCTAGGCCAAAGGAATCAGTTTGTAAGCATGTGTATAAATATTTATCTTTTTAATGTGATATCACTACTGTTAACTTATCCCATTATTTTTGCAGAAAAACCTTGAGTGTTTTATTTTGCATATTCTGAATGCATAATTCAAACTTGCTTTGTATAAACTAAGTGATTTTGCCTTTGAATACTACTCTTCCTTCAAAAAAATATTAGAAAAACAGTCAAATTTATTTATGGTTCAAGTCCAAACACAATTAAAAGACTGAGAATACAATACAGTAAGTGGGAAAATTGCAAGAAAATCCTAAAACAATTAATAGTTAACAGTAAGTGAGGAACCAAACAACTTCTAACTGTTTTAGTTATTGACAGGAATTTTGCAGTCTTCTTAGCATAAGCTGCTAGTTGCAACGGCAATTAGAGCTGTTAATAATCGGAATTATTAAGCTTGATCACGATTGGGCATACAGTTTTATTAACATGTCTGAGATTTTTATCTCCAAATCTGAAAGAAAAGTAGTTAAACTTTCATACAAGATATTCATATATAAGAATGAGCCTGCCATATGTAAATCCAAAACAAAAGTTTCCAATATGGATCACATGTAAGATGTTAAAATACTTAGCATATTTTGTTTATCATATTTTTATAGCTGTCTAACTCACAAAAGTATGACTGGGTGGTGTACTAAAAGAAAAATAAATATACACAACCAAACATAAAAGATACAAATACTATAATAAAACACACACAAGATTAAGAAATTAGTTTAACAGCAGCAAGCAACTATTGCAAGATTTCTTCAATCTCTTGGAATGCCCAGACCTGATGGCATAGTCAGGTTTTAAGGGACTTATGAATGTTGAAAGGGATGGAATTGACTTCTCTTCCAGGGAAGAGGATTTCATAAGGTGGGTACAGCAGTGTACTGATACCTAACCCCCGGGCAAAGGAGCTCAACCCAAGGCCTCATGTAGACATTCAATAGAAGATGGAAAATACAAAACCCTGCAATTCCACACACAGATGGGCTAAAGCCAGGATCTATTCTCCCCAACTCTGTCATGAAAGGGGCAGAAACAAGGAAGGAGGAATAGCAATTGTGCTATAAAAGTTGTAATCTTATATTTTGAAGAAATCCATTTTCTTCCTTGCTGTAATGTTTTGAGACTATCACCTCCCACGACTGGATGGTGGGGAATGGAAGGAGAATGGAAGGGTTTTTACTCCTTGCAGACAGCTGATCATTTTCATTCTTAGAGTCAGTGAGGCAACCTGGAGGCTTATCTGTGTCGTCAGGGTCACCTGAGTAGTGCAAATGGGTGTGCAGCCTTCTTGAAACTGTTGAAAGAGGACTGTGTTGTAGATTGGAGATAGATGGCCTGGATGACTGAGAATCTCCATAGACAAACGTGGGACACACCAATATTCAGTATTATGCAATCCAGATAATACCTCTCTTTACTTACTGCTTCAGGGAAGTTTTGTTGAGCATTTCTTAACAAAAAAGATAGATAGATTGGAGTCTCAGTCTAATTCAAAATAGTAAAGGTAAGTGTATCGCCACGCAGGTAGCTTAAAAAAAAAAAAGTCTATCTTAGGTCTGTTTAAAAATTGAAGTCCGGCCGGACTCCCTCCCTATTGGATTACTCTTGCCTGACATCACCACACAGTGACCAATCAGAACGCCGAGCTCTTTTGAAAAAACAAATTCACAGGTAGGAGTGCGATACTTGGGCTTAACAAGTTCCGGGGCTATCCAAGGTTTGGATCGGCAAACGGGAGAGCGGGGATCCAGGTAATCCGGTTTTTTTTCCCATCCGGTCGCACAGAGAGGGACGAAGAATCAACCGTTGCCTCCCCGCCCGGAGCAGTCTTGACAGACGGCGGAAGGATTTACGCGAAGCTTCAGCGGCCTCAGAGGGCGGGGAGGAGTCGGTGGTTTGAATGAGCGGGAGGACAAATTTAGCGCGCGCGCGTTGCTCCCTCCGAGACGCGAGGGGGTCCTGCGCGTGCCGTGGCGGGAAACGCGCGGGGCAGGTGAGGGGCTGCTCTTCGTCCGGGTGAGAACGGCGCCTGTGCGAGGGAGGCTCGGCTTTCCTTGGGGTGACTTGCTGAAGGCAGCGGTGCTGGGAAGAGGAGCCAAGGGCGGGGGGGAGTTGACTGGTGCTGGGGGCGAGATATGCCCTGAAGCGAATTAAGGGGTTCCTTTCAATCGGGCGTGAGGAAAGAAAGAGGCGCCGTGGAAGTTTCCGATCGCGATGTGTTTTGCTCGGACTTGAGGGCAATTGAACCGTACAGGATATGTAAAGAAGGGAAAGCTTGTGGGCTTCCTTGATTTAGCCGAGCTTAGTTCGCACGTGGCCCACTGACGGGGCATCTACCGATCTTAGACTGTATCTGAGAAAAGGATTTATTTTTGTTAACGTACGGTCTAAAAAGGAACTTAAATGGCTTGAAATGAAAGCAGAAGAGGAACAACAAATGAACTGATTTTGCGCCTTATTATGAGATAAATAGCAGTTACTCTGTTACGGTTCTTCTTGGGATCCTGCAGTTCGCTGAGCGCTTGTGTGGAGAAGGAAGCGAGGTTTTGATGTAGGACAAATTCTTCTCTCTGATGGGGTATATGATTGTGGGTATGAAATTCTCCAGCAGATATCAGCACAATATAGTAGCTTACAAAATGCCACTTGCAGTTTTATCCTTGAATTTCTCTGATGGTATATTAAATCATAAAACCTAATTTCCAATTGGCATTCCAAGCCAAAACGGCCTGATTTCATCATCCAAACACAGGTTAATTTGCCCATATTGTAGAAGGTTTTACCCTGTTTTCAGACAATGCTGGTTTTATTTCATCTCCATGTAAAATAAAGTGAGTAAGGATGTTTCAGATGTTTCATTTGGCTTGTGAATAAAGATTTTTTTAATATATTTCTTGCTATGGAGAATTTAGAGCAGACATGTCAAACACAAGGCCCAAGGGGCTGGATGCAGCCCGCGAAGTGGTTTCATGTGGCCCGCGAAGCCATCCTGGAAACACTGAGGGAACGGCCCCCTCTGCCTTGGCCCTGGCCCAGGCCGGCCAGGATCCCATGTACAATTTTGTGGTTGCCATCTATGCTGAAACGCATTCAGTCTTAGCTCCACAAGGCCGTCTAGAAACAGCTAAGAACCAGCCCCTGCCGTGTCGGTCCCACCCCCTGGGTGCATGCTGGGGAGGTGTCACCCTTTGTGAGGAATGAAGAAATGGACCATGCCTTGGTGCTTGCCCCAGTCCCACCCCCTTCTGCCAGAGATCCTCAGATCTGTCCCACTCCTGCCCAGGCCCCCACAGGCACCCTTGACGCGAACGATGTAGAGCTGGCCATGCCCACCCAGTAGGCCACACGCACTCTGGCCACACACACACACCCAGGGCAACCGCAATGCTGATGTGGCCCTCAATGAAATTGAGTTTGACACCCCTGATTTAGAGCAACCTTCAGTTTACAAGTAGTACATGTCTCCTTGGAAGTACATTTTCACGTTTTCAGACCTCTATAGGGTCTGTAAATACAGAAAAGGAAAAGTGCTGTTTATGCATTTTAAATATTGCTAATGAGGCTGATTGAGGTTTTGTTGTTCTGAAAATAAAGCTACATGCTTGCTTTTGTTGTGCATTTGTTAACAAATTGCATGCATTGCTTTAAGGTCCAGTTTTCAATGCAAGACAGTTAATGTATTGCCAGATTGTATCTGGAATGATTTTTGTTACATTTGAGAGCTTGCATGGATGTCAGTGCTATACTATAAGAAGCCTGGACTGATGTTAAGCTTCTCAAAGTATTGCCAGAGAGAAGAAAATGTTTCCAATTATCCTTAAGCTCTGTCAGTGTGATTTCAATTGCTTTTTGCTGGGCTAAGTAACTGTGGCTGTTGTGTTGAACATTTTGAACTTTCTTCCAAGTTGCCTACTTTTAAAAATCATGTATTAAAACTTTTATTAGAATGGAGGCTATTCAGCAGTACTATCCCATCTACTGGTAAAGTCCTAGCAGGGAGGCTTGTTTTAAGTTCACATTATTTGCTATGGTAGTAAATAAAATGTTTCTAATGTTTATTTGCTTAGAATACTTCTGGCATTGAGAGTTTTGTTCCAGTGGACTGCACAGTAGAATGATTGTCAAGATTGAAAGGAATATGAGGATAAAAATTTTCTGTGTTTTAATTTTTTGTACATGATGTAACTCTTTCACTGTCTTCTTTCATAGTAGGAATACTTGCTGGCATAAAGACTTCAATTCATAAAGACATAATTTAAACATGTTTTGAAATAAGCCTTTTATAAATTTGTTTATACGTTAATATAAACCTGTGGAAACTTAAAAACAGACTAGGGAGTGGATGTGAGAGAGGGAGATAGCAACATTGATAGTGGATTACTAACTTTAGATCTGCGTGTTCCTTCTATTCATTCTTTGCTCAGTAGATTGCGAGGGTTTCATGTAACATTTGAAGATTATAATCTATCATACATAAAGGTATTGACATCAGTAGAAACAAAAAGCATGCAAAGAGTATAAAGTCATCTAAGCTTAGCTGGTCCATTTCTAGAACCTTTTTTTTTTTTTTTTTGCACTTTTGGATGTGCTTGAAGAAGCCTTCCTAAGCAAAAGGGTGCAAAAGTAAGTTGAAAGAAAAATCTTCATCAGGGTCCAGTCCAAGCCGGAAATAAACAACATGGAGACTGCTTTAGAAAGAAGGTTGCAGTTTATTGATAGAGGAGAGCCAGACAGAAAGATGGCTCTGGAAAAAAACCTGACCACCTGTAGTAGGGAGTGGGTTTTTATACCTTCTTGGACTTTTGTTCCGAGTTGTTCCTGTGGCATGAACTTTGACTTGAGTCTGAGTGTGCCCTTCTGGTATTCTAATGGTAGTGGGTTAATCCTATTATGTCCCAAAGGTCATATCTTGCTTCCCTGTGGCTGTGGCTGATGACTGTTGGATTATTGGTGTGAGGAATTGTTGAGTCTATGGATCTTTGTCTTTCTAATCCCAGCTTCCTGGCTCCAATCTTTCTGATAAGATTATGATATCTGCATTTTTACAGAGCAGGTTTCTGCTTGGGGGAGAGAGACTTGGGGCTATTAAGAAAAACTGGGCATGCTTTTCTGCCTTTTTAAGATCCTTTGAGGAAATATAATATTCTGCCTTTTTAATATTTCCTTCTTTGGGGAGGGCTGACTTCCCACAAAGTACTATACAGAGTGTAAAGATAGATTAATGATAACATTGTAAACAAATACTCCAAATACTGACCAACAACACTCTTTGCTTTTCAAATGACTTAAAAGTAAAAAATAGAGATAATGGCTGATACCAAACCTGAATTCAGGGTGGGCAGGTTTTCAAGAGAGGAACTCTCTCCCACCCTCACTTTCTCAGTTTTCAGTAAGCCACAGATCTGCCACAATAAAATTATGGACGAGAGAAGACTTACTATAGACAGAATGGACATACAGCAGAAATCAGAGGTGCAGAGCTATAATTCTGACTCCCAGTATAAGGATTAAGAGATGAAAGGAGGAATCTTTCAAAGATGCTGAACATGTGTTCCCTGAGTGCAGTCCATGTTAATTTCCTGCCATACCTACACTTGTCCAACATAACCAAAATTTTGTTCTTATTGCCTGACTTCCCTTGCCACAACCTTCTAGTCAGTACCTTCTGCTCAGGAAAATCCCACCACAACACAGGAACATTGGGCTTAATACAACCCTTCAGAAAGCCAACTCAGCAGGTTGCCACTCATACTACGCCTTGCCTACTTCCCAACTCTCCCCTCGCCCCTCCTGTTTTTCATCACTGACAGAGTCTTCATGATACCGGGAAACACGAAGCCCAGCCATAGTTCAAACCCATGCAATAATTCAATCTTTTCCACATCTCTGAATGTAATCAGTTCTACACGTTCAAAATTGGCCTACCCTAAGATAAGGAATACTGTTTTGTCTTGTCACTTTTCCTAAAGTAAAATTCATCTGCCTTTTGTCTGAAATGAGAAGAAACATCATTTTGTCCTTTGCCTCATGCAGCAGAGTGTCTTGGACCAGCTTTTATGATAGTACTAGGGCAACTGAGAAACCAATATTTAAGGCAATTTAAGATACACATCAACAGAAAATTTTTCCACATTTATGTCATGACATACAGAGACACTAAAAATTGCAAAGAAGTTGCTCTTTACAGAACTATATGAATAAGCCACTGTGGAAGGTATGTACAGACCAGTGCCCACAGTATCCCTGTAATAAAATATATGTATTTTACAGTAGACATAGGGAAAAGAGGCACAAGAAGCTGCTATTTTGGTAGAGATAGGAATTTAGAGCAAAGTACACATTCAGTATTTTCTTTCAAGATCCATGATTGAGGAGATATATTCTAGTGTTCTAATCCTGGTAGCACAAATGAAAAGAACAAAAACAGCTCAAGGTAATTATAAACCATTACAGGCACAATCAAAATGATTGTACATTCCTATTTGCTCCCCAGAGAGGAGAGAAACCCTACTCATTAATAGTGTTTCTTTTTCTTTTGCTGGCAGCTTTTGTACAGTCCTGCAGAATTTCTGTCACACAAGCATATAATAAGTACTAAATTACATATGATTTTGTGTGTGTTTATACACCCTTGATTGATCATCCCTGTTTAATGGCAAGGAGATGTTTAAAATTCAAAATATAGTATATAAGTCTGTAATAAATGCCCCATGGAGTACATTTTGATTACTTTTACTCAGTGATGTGTCATACCAAATACAGGTAGCCCTTATTTATGACCACAATTGAGACCAGAATTTCCATTGTTAAGCGAGGTAGTTGTTATGTGAATCACACCCAATTTTTTGCCACAATTGTTCAGTGAATCATGCAGTCTTTAAGCGAATCTGGCTTTCCTTATTGAGTTTGCTCGCCGGAAGCCGCTGGGAAAATCATAAATAGCAACTTCATGACCTCAAGATGCTGCAGCCATTGTAAATACATCCTGGGTGTCTAGCAACCAAATTTTGATTAGATGACCGTGGGCAAGCTATGTCAATTATAACTGAGGACTGGTTGCAAGTCAAACTTTTCAGTGCCTTTGTGAACGGTCACTAAATGAATGTAAGTCAAGGACTACCTGTAAAGCACACCTGATATCAAAATATCACTGTAGTAGCTATGAAACACTTTGCAGCAACCTCACTACCAAAAGGACTTTCAGATTATGAGTTTGAAGTGTTAGGAGCACAATCATTTGTGCAGCTCTTTTGCCTACTTCTTAAGAGATTTTGTATGAAGAGGGCAGATTTGGTGGGAAAACAAGACAACCGCAAAGGAAAACTGATTTCTACGAACTGTGTGTACTGTGCTTGCATGTGCCCTCAGAACATAAACATTACATTCAATATCTGATATTCTGTGGGATAAAGTAAACTGCTCTGGAATCAAAGGGATTCCCTTCTGTATAGAAATTGAGAGAAATTGAGATTACCTACTTTAGCCTAATGTATCCTCAGATTTGATAATCAAAGTTTAGTTTTGATAAGTTAATTCGGCAGAGATGAAGCTTAGTTACAAAGAGATGTTAGATAATGTACCTGCAGATGACTATAAGGAGTGCCAGAGGAAACTGCTAAACCAACAAGACAATTTCTGTAGGACAGAGAGAAGTTACTATGATATAACTTTTACAGTAAAATGGGAAAGGCAGTAAAGCATCCAAGATTTAATGATTTATGCCTTTTAAATTTGTTTCTGTACAAGAACCCACCCCAAGAACAGATGCACTTTGTAAGAACTGTATTAAAAGCAGTTCACCCAAGGGTAGGTGTGCATGCTTTGGGACATTTTTCACACAATGCTTTATTTGCTCAGATATATCACATTAATCCTATTCTTGGTGTGTGTTAATTGGCTTTGCATACCGGGTCCAACAAGCCATGTTTGAGACAACAAAAAAAGGATGGCTTCGCTGTTGAACAACGGAAAGATAGTTTTGAAATCTTTTACTGTATTTCCTTAATCTCACCAACATTCCGAACGGTATTTTTGCTTAATGACAAACGACACTTTGTTTGCAATGTCATGTAACTACGAGAGCAAGTAAAGCTGCCTAAATATAACAGGAGTTGCTGTTGGGTAAATTTAAATTTCATGGGCATAACCCTCTAAAACAATAATACCTGCCCATGCCACAATACCTTTATGCCACATAGCACCATATTACGGCTATTGTTAAGATCAAAACGATATTTGCGCTTCTTTTTGCCTTCTATCCTCCTGTTTGGCGGGAAACATCCAGATAAGAAAAAAAAAAAACCCAGTCTATGTTAACGTCTGTTTAAAAATTGAAGTCCGTCCGGACTGCCTCCCTATTGGATTACTCTTGCGCTGACATCACTACACAGTGGCCAATCAGAGAACGCCGAGCTCTTTTGAAAAAAAACATTCACAGGTGGGGATAGGGGTGCGATGCTTGCGCTTAACAAGCTCCGGGGCTATCCAGGGTCTGGATCGGCAAACGAGAGCGCGGGGATCCAGGTAAGCCAGTTTTTTCCCGTCCGGTCGCACAGAGACCGACGAAGAATCGACCGCTGGTCTCCCGCTTGGAGCAGACAGCGGAAGGATATACGCGCAGCTTCAGCGGCGGGGAGCAGTCGGTCGGTTTGAATGAGCGGAAGGAGAAATTTAGCGCGCGCGCGGTGCTGCCTCCGACACGAGAGGGGGGTCGTGCGCGTGGCGGGGCAGGTGAGGGGCTGCTCTTCGTCCGGGTGAGAACGGCGCCTGTGCGAGGGAGGCTCGGCTTTCTTTGGGGGTGACTTGCTGAAGGCAGCGGTGCTGGGAAGAGGAGCCAAAGGGGGTCTGACTGGTTCTGGGGGCAAGATGTGCCCTGAAGCGAGTTAAGGGGCTCCTTTGAATCGGGCACGAGGGAAAGAAAGGCGCCGTGGGAGTTTCCGATCGCGATATGGTGCTGGGGCTTGAGGGCAATTGAAACGTACTGAGCGGTACAGGATATTTAAAGAAGGGAAAGCTTGTGGGCTTCCTTGGTTGAGCCGAGCTTAGCTCGCACGTGGCCCACTGATCTTAGACTAGCTGAGAAAAGGATTTATTTTTGCTAACGTGCGATCTAAAAAAAAGGTAGCTTAAATCATGGCTTAAGATGAAAGCAGAAGAAGAACAATAAATGAACGAACTGATTTTGGGCCTTATTGTGAGATAAATGGCAGTTCTGTTACGGTTCTTAGAATCCTGCACTTCGCTGAGGCTGCGTGGAGAAGGAAGCGAGGTTTTGTGTAGGACAAATTCTCTGATGGGGTATACGATTATGGGCATGAAATTCTCCAGCAGATATCAGCACAGTACAGTAGCTTGCAAAAGTACAGTAGTTTACAAAGGCTCTGAATGGCTTTATTCTTGAATGTGGCTATTGGTTTGTTAAATCATCTAGATTACCCAAACATTTGGTGCTGAGAGTGACTGGTGTCAGTGGTCCAAACTCAGATAATTTGTCCACATTGTAAGATTTTACCCTGTCATCGAACAATACTGGTTTTATACCAACTTCCATTAAAATAAAGCCATTCTGAGAATGTTTCATATGCTGTTATTGGCTTGCTATTTTAATCTAACACATACAACAAAACAGTAGGCATTCTGCTAGTACTACTAACTAAGTGAACCTAGTTGAAAAGAAGTTTTAAGTAAAATTGAGAGACGTCCATTTTAGATGTTAGAAAAATATTAGTGTTTTTCAATAAATAGGTTTATTGCTTTTTCCTTTCTATTAAGGAGTTATAAAAAGGCTTCAGTTTCTGGGTTAATGTGTGCTTTTTTTTTCTTTTACAGGTAAAATTGTAGGTAGAGAAATGTAAACTTGCAGTTCATGCAGGAAACTTTCCCAGCATTTAATTCAAGCAGGTAATGTCAGGCTTAAAATCAGACACACCACTTACGAGTTTGCTACTCACTGCACATTGGCCTGCTTCTCAATTTCCTTGCCCTTTTTCTGATGTCCCAAGGTGCCCTCCCAGTTCCAGGAGGCATGAAATCAACTTCACCTAGGGGTGTCAAACTGGCAGCCCGTGGGCCGGATGCATCACAGGCCATGCCCACCCGGGCTCCGCAAAGGCAAAAAAATCTCAATAGGTCATGTGATATGATCGAGTTTGACACCCATGACCAGTCCTAGAGAGTAGTTCAGGCTGTCAAAGTCCAAGCCTGTTAAGGTCTCTGAACATTCTGTCGGAAATAGTTCATTGGGGAGCGATGTAGTCTACCAACCATTCTGTCCTAGTTTGCATTTTCATTCCAGATAACATTAAAAGGATTATCTGGCACAGGGAATACTCGCCTAATATTTAAAGCCACTGAGATCGCTAACTATAATTCTAATCCAGATGTAAGATAATAAAATGAGTAAATTTAAGTTCCGCGACCCAAAGAAGAAAAGTTTTGGATTATTGTAATTTTTCTTTTTCCCTCTTGATTTTTCTCACAATTTAATTTTCTGGATTTTTAAAATTTTGCTTGTACCTATCTGAGTAGTCAACAATTATAAACAAATTACTGTTGAACTAAGTCTTCATTGACCTTCTGGAGAAGCCAGCAGAAAAGATGGTAGATGGTGACCCATGATCTCAGGGCGCTTGGCAACTGTTTGTAAGTGCAAATAGGTTGCAAGCACCCAGGTCACATGACCAGGGGAAGTGGCACAATACGTTATGGCAGCCGGAACTCCATTATAGACTTAAAGCACACTTTCCCAGTAGTCATAACATAATGTAAAAAAATTTCTATTCAAAAACCTGTGACCTTAGTTGAGATAGCAAATGATATGCACGACCATGAACTTTCTACATACTGTCACCAAGGTATGTTGAAATTTGCAGTAATTTTTATATATTTTTTTCCTTAGAGGTAAGATATACAAATGTGAAAATGCCAGTTTTTGGGAAAATTGTTGTTATTAAGAGAAATGGGACCGATGGAACTTATTTTCCGCTCACTGCAAACTCTTGTTTGTTTGGAAGGTAAGACTTTAAATTGATAAGGGGTTTATTTGTATAGGATTTTCATTATGTAATTGTGATGTAGAACTGTCCTTTTTATAGCAGAACTTCAGGGAGTGTCATAACTTTCTCAGACTCTTTCATTGTGACTTCTATATAATTTATATAGTCATGCAATATATGTCACTTATAATGGATCTATCTGATCTGCTTCAGTGTATATTTATGCAAGACATTTGTCTAATCAAAAATGTAAACGTGTTTTAGAAGTTCTTAAAACTCAACCTAAAAATCAGCTTGTCTCAATGCATCTTTAGTTGCATTGCCTTGCTATATTAGATGGAAATGAGTTAAGAGTTCACAATATATTTTAAGAGATGTGTGTATAAGAGCATATAGTTATATAATTTGAATGGATAATCTTGTAATTATTTTATTTTAAAGGAAAAAAGAATGTGATATTCGAATCCAGCTGCCTCACGTTTCTAAAGAACATTGTAAAATTGAAGTCAATGAAAATAAAGTGGTATATATTATTTTTGGTACTTATGCAATACTAATATTTCTGGTATTTGTGTTTTATTGATTGATCTGGATATACATATTTTATTCCTATGTATTTTTAGGCAGTGCTGTTTAACTTGAGTTCTACGAATCCAACACAGCTAAATGGGAATCACTTTCAGGATTCCACACACTTAAAACATGGAGATATACTGACAATCATTGATCGTTCTTTCAGGTATGTAACAATAATATAATCAAATATGGGTGTGCTAGAAATAGGCTGTGTAAGCCAGTGATGTTTAGAAACCTGAAGATAAAGGAAATTTTAAAATAATTTGATGGATGGGGAAACTCCCCAAACAGGAAAACAGATTATATAAAGAGTAAATAAACTATTAGTTTAATATTGTACTAGATGAAAACAGTAACAATTTTGAATAAAGTGGATTTAATAACTTCTTAAAGTCTTAATAGCTTAAAGTTGGATTAATTTTAATTTAAGTAATCTTTGGACTTGAATAGGTTTGAATATTCACCTCCCTCACTTCCTCAGAAGAGACCTTCTAGATCTCAAGAGAAGGAAACATTACAGGTAAAATAAAAATCATTTTTTCCTTAATTTGGGGAAGGGGGAAGTAATAAAAATGTAGAAATTAATAAATGGTATGTTGCTCTTTGGCTTGATTTAATAATTGGTCATTTACCAGTTACATTTCACTTTTAGTTATTCTATTCCACATATTTAACTATAATTTAGAGAAAAACAACATTTTCGTATTTAGAAAATTAAGACATTTTCTCTGGTCTGTTACTCATGTTTTCCACAAGTAACTTGACACTTGATTTATGAGTCATTGAGATTTAGACAGAGTGGCATTAGTTTTATATGTACAAAATCTAATCTTAATTGGAATTTTCCTGAGTGGTATAATATTGCAGCCTTAGATTCTATATGCTTAGCACTTATATTCAGAGAACTATTGTAAATATGTTTCTTTCACTGTAAATAATTAGTTCTTATACATAGAACTTTTGAAGTAGGGGTCCATTAGTTTTGGGAAAGCTCATGAGTTTTGGAAAGCATAGCAATGGTTTACCAATGAATGTCCATATTATAATCTAAAATTCATTTCAAAATTCTAAAGTCTTGAGTTAGTCCTGATAATTATAGACTGCATAGTACTATTGGCTTCAGATAAGAGGTAAATGAAATATTACATTATCTTTCAATCATTTATTCTAAGGAGTTACCAGTGGAAACCTGTTTTAAAGAAAAAATGGCAAGCTTAAAAGAAATATTAAATTCCTTGTTCTATTGCATTGTGTTTAATTTTACAGATTCTTCATGTTCAGCATATGCAACAGATGGACTTGCTGCGTACACAAAACTCAGATTACAAAAGTTCTCCAATTACTGGTTGGTAATTAATTTTTTTCTATAAGTGCTTCATTATATTAATGACTTTTTATTAATAAAAAGAATGTATTTATTAGTGTAAAACAAATGAAGCAACCATTAGAATTTGCTGTTAAAATACATCAATGGATTTGGTTTAATTGATTAATTGTTTTCTGAGCCTGTAAGTCACCCAGTTTCTGAGTATATACTAAGTTATGATAATTAAGAGCTGAGAAACAGGCTAGTCTTAAAATTAGAAATAATATTTCACAGCTGATTACATTTTAGAGAATGACCCATATATTTTCTTGTCCATTAAGAAACTTTCATAAAATAGCTTATAAACACATCTATTCCTTAAAATTCTCTGATTAGACCCATGCTTAAAGGGAGAGTGATTTGGAAAATTACAAATAATTTGCTTGCATACCTCTTTGTTAGGCAATTACAAATAAAATTTAGCTTCTATAAGATTTGATTTGTTGAACTTAATAGATTTGTGCAAATCCTTTGAAGGAGGTAAATTGTAATGTATGCAGATCCATCCAAAGCACATCTCTTATGATCACAAAAGCAGTCATATATATTTCTAGGTTCATGCAGTTGCTTCCTAAACGATTTCTAGCTGTTACCATTGAGAACATTTTCAAAACGGGCAGCCACAAGTATGTGGAGATTGTTGGAAGCAGTTTACAAAGCTGTTGCTTGAGGCTGGAAAAAAATTGACTGCTTTCTGATTTGAAAAAAGATGCTGTGAAGCACTTTTTTCTAAGGATTTGTAAATCTTTGCTTAATTCCTCAAAAATTACTTTCTGATGAGTACTTTATCTATATAATGCTTCAAAAATAGTTTTAGCTTTATCCAAGAAAATAGATTTTAAAAACTGCTTGTTTCATATTCCTCTAGGCAAGAAATTTAAAACTTGCTCTCCTAGAAGAAGTGAGAAAAGACTTCAAAAACAATACAGCACAACTGAAAAAGCAAACAAACTGTCTCCTTTTAGCAAACTTTATGAATTAATGAAACATGAAGATGGCACAAACAATGTAAAGGAAAATACTGGTAATGAGACTTTGCTGGAAGATGTATTTCACTCAAGATCTAGGAGGTCTGCAGTGAGTCGAGCAAAGTTGACTAAAATTGAACATTCTGAAGATAGTAAAATTCAAGAAAAGAGTGGTATTGTAACAAGCCCAATACCAGTATTTGAAGAGAAGAACTCCAAAAAATTATCAAGTACTCAAAATTGTGATATACAACAGAAACAAGAATGTGAAGGTACAAATCAGTCAGATTTTCACAACATAGAAGATAATGAAATGGGAAAAGACCAAATAATCAGAAGTGCTAATAAGAATACATATTTTAAAGCAAATCAGCAGAGTGCACAGCATTTCACTGAATCACATTGTATAGTGTCGATGGACTATACAAAAAAGGCTAAGTGCCTTAACAAATTTAACTTAACAGATGCTTTCACATCTGTAGAAAATACTTTGCCCAAAGCAAAGTCTAGCAGGGAGAGTATACAAAATTACTCCAGTCCATGTTCTAGAAACTCTCGAAGATCTTCCAAGTCCAGAAGGTCATGGGTTGAAATAGATTCACTGAACAGAATGAAGAGCTCTGGAGAAATGGAAGAGTGCCCCGTACAAGTTAATGGGCAGGAGCATGAATCTGGTATTTTGATTGGAAGTATATATTCTAACAAAAATGAAAATAGAGAATTGGTCACAGAAACAGCACTGAATCTGAAAGATTCAGAAGATGGAAGTTCTAGTATGGTTTACAGTTCACTTCATTTTAATACTAGTAAAAGCTGCAATAACAACATTGAACTAAATAAAAATGTTTCAAATGAATATTTGTGTACAGAGGCAATAGATACAGTATCAATAATCCCTGCAGATCTTCCCCAAACCAGTGAAATAGTGACAAATCAAATTCCTGAAAGAACCTTGGAAAAAGAAAGTCCTACAAATGAAAATAAAATAGAAATAAAAGACCATGAGCAGAATGTTAATATGAAAAATGATATACCTACTTTTTCCAGTTCTCATGAAAGCAGTGTCCAAACATCAGTCAAGGTTAATGCTGCTTTTGAAATGAATTTGTTATGTCCACTTAATAAAAAATCAGGTAAATATAGTTTTTTTTATACCAAAAAATATTGTTGCTATTTGCTGTCTCCAGTAACTTTGGTTAAGATAAAACAAATTGTTTTATCAGCTTATTTTTTCTGTCAGTTAATTGGCTTGTTTGACACGGTTACTAGAAACAGAGATTAAATTGTTTGAAATGTTAATGCCTTAATTATGATTGAAACTATTGATACCAGAAGTGTAAAAGGTTTTTATAGAGTTTTTAAAAATTAACCCAAAGGTGCTTTTTAAGGAGGCAACTGGACTTTCTTGTTTTTTCTGCTGAAAGAACTGTGTTTTAGATTGGAGGTAGATGATGTCATATCCCTCCCCCTGTTGAGAGGGCTGTTCAAAATTGAGGGGGAGGGATATGACATCTATCTCCAGTCTACAGCACAGTCCTTTCAGCAGTTCCAACAAAGGCTCCGTACTCATTTGCACCACTCAAGTGACCCTGATGGCAGATGGTGGTCTCAACGACTCTAAAAGAATGCAAATGACCAGCATTCTACAATCTTTCTATTCCCCACCATCCAGTCAGAGCTGAAGAAGCTTGAATGAGAAGTGAAATGTCTTCAAAGAAAAACAAGAAAGTCCAGTTGCCTTGTGAAAAAGCACCTTTGGGATAACTGACCTGGGTGACCGAGAATCTCCATAGACATTTTTAAAATTAAGCAATTGTATTCAGAGTGCAAACTTTTTAATTGTATTGATGTTGTAAGACAATGTGTTCACTTTGATATAATTTACTCTTCATTTATAGAGGCTAAGAAATCACCTCAAAAGCGTAGAAGTAAAGAGCTAGATTTTCTAGTCCAACCACTTGGAAAGAGGAAGAGAGTGTCTTTTGGTGGCCAACTGAGTCCTGAACTCTTTGATAAGCGCTTACCTCCAAACTCGCCACTTAAAAAAGGGGCCATTCCAGCAAGACTAAGCATGCCATATGGAAACTCACCACGAGCAGTTCTGAAAAGAGTTGCAGAATTGAGGCAGTCTGTAATACAGGTATCTGATTGACTGACTGACTGAACAGCTGATTAGTAGGATTATTTACAATTTTAACTAAAGAATTGCTCTTGCTCCCATAACAATATTTATGTATGTATTTGTCTAAACTTTACTAGTCTTCATACTGGAAACTTTGTATTTTAAATAATGTATCTTTAAAAATATGTTCAAACAATTGATCAGAAATTTGAAATCATAGAATTTAGAAATTTCTCTGGGGGGGGGATGTAAGCCATGAATTCTTAGGACATCTAAACATTCCCCTAGAATTCTTTCTGCAAAGAATTAGTGATATATTGCATCTGAGTGCTTCTGTTCTATTTAAAGATTTGATGATTTTATTTCAGTCCTATAATGGCAAGATAGGTAGCAAATAAATGTAATAAATAAAATTGATAAATTCATTGATAAAATATTTTATGCCAACAAAATTGGATAAAAAATGTTTAAAAAAATGAAATACTCTACAGCAGAGATACAAGTAGCCATCTGGTTATTTCTTGTGAATGACCTACAAATGTAGCTTTATATAATACGTCTGAAATCAGAATTTATACTACTGACTTCTATTTTTAAATTGGGGCATTTTCAAAATAATAAAGAACATTCATCTTAAAAGCTTACTAGATATTTATTTGAGAAAGCAAATTTCTCAAAATTATTTCATAGAAAAGTGGAATGCTTGGAAATGTTTGTAAATACCTGGAAAATGCATACAGAATGTTCTGTCTCTGGAGACAGTGTTCCAAGAAAGTCTGCTCCAGGGCTACAAATCACTCCTTGTCCTGGATTATTTACTTCTAAAAAACTGCTAAACCATTCCCAGAATGGCCAGATCTGATAAAGATGGGACAATGCCTAAAAATAGAATAGAGTAGAGCAGAGTAGAATAGAGTTGGAAGGAACTGTAGAGGTCTTCTAGTCCAGCCCCCTGCTTAAGCAGGAGAACCTATACCATCTCAGACAAGTGACTGTCTGAGGGAAAGCTGTTCCACTGGTTAATTGTCCTCACTGTTAGGAACTTTCTCCTTAATTCCAGGTTGCTTCTCTCTTTGATCAGTTTCCAACCATTGTTTCTTGTCCTGCCCTCTGGTGCTTTGAAGAATAATTTGACCCCCTCTTTGTGGCAGCCTCTCAAATGCTGGAATAGAGCTATCATGTCACCCCTATTTCTTCTTTTCTTTAGACTAGCCAAACCCAAGTCCTGCAGCCGTTCTTCATATGTTTTAGTCTCCAGGCCTCTTTAGTTGCTCTTCTCTGAACTTTTCCCAAGGTCTGAACATCTTTTTTGTAGTATGGTGATCAAAATTGGTTGCAGTATTCCAGGAGTGGTTTCACTAGGGTTTTATAAAGCGGTACTGATACTTCGTGTGATCTTGATTCTATGCCTCTGTTTAAACAACCCAGGATTGTATTAGCTTTTTTGGCGGTGGCTGCACATTGCTGGCTCATAGTCAAGTGATCGTCCACTAGGGCTCCATGGTCCCTCTCACAGTTACTGTTTTTGAGCCAGGTTTCCCCTAATCTGTACTTATATCTTTGATTTTTCCTGCCTAAATGTAAAACTTTGCTTTTCTCCACATTAAAACTCATTTTGTTGGATAGGGCCCATTGATCAAGTTTTCAAGATCTTTTTGAATCCTGAGCTTCTCTGCTGGGGTGCTGGCTATTCCTGCCAGTTTAGTGTCATCTGCAAATTTGATGAATTCTGTTTCTATTCCCTCATCTAAGTCATTGATGAAGATATTGAAGAGTACCGGGCCTAAGACGGAGCCTTGTGGTACCCAACTGCTTACTTCTCTCCATGTGGATCTAGTACCATTGAGCTGACTTCTTCTTTTTTATATACTGCTTCTTCACATCTTTTCATAGTTTCATAAAGTAGCTAGGTAATAGATTTGGAAAGAAGTTAATTTTAATTTAGGTTAAAAGAAATTAGCAAATAAAAACGGTTTAGAGCTAAGTATAGTGTGATTTTATTTGATTTTTATGCTGTCACAGTCTTTCGGACTGCTGATGGTTAGAATATTAGAGTAAAAAAACCAACAGAATGAAAAAATACAATTCAAATTGCAAAACCAAAATTGAAGTGGGAGAGGAAGAATAACAAGAGGAACTGGTCATATTATTCAAATGCTGTTAATAAAATCTCCATTTTCAATAATTTCCTAAAATCTATTGAAGGAATCCACTTTTCATAGTTTGGTGCTGCTCCAAAAAAAGAGCCCCTCCCTAGATGCTCTAATAGGTTGCGTAGAAACTGGTTAGAGGAGGCTCCTCCATAGATGCTCAAGTGCCAAGTTATGAAGAATATTAGTACCAGCACTTTAAATTGTAGTTGGAGCTGAAATGGTAACCAGTGCAGAGTCTGCAATTTATGTGTGATCTGCTCCCATTCTTGGAAACTAAGACATGCTGCCTCACTCTGGACTAATTATAATATTCTCATAGTTTTCAAAGGCAGCCCCTTATAAAGTATTGTGGGTTTTTTATGACTGTCTAATTGTTTAATTCATTTTTCTGAGACGTTTTAAAGGAAATAGATATGATTGCTGTTTCTTCAAAATCTAAAGTTTAATTTTTTGTGTGTGTGTTACCTGTTTGTTTTCCTGCAGGGTTCCTTTGAGAGGAAGCAATACAAAAATAGTGTGCCAAAGCAAGCTGCCTCACAATGTGTCTCTGATCCTCATGTTGCAAGTCTATCTTCAGAGGGTGAAGAAACCACTACACAAGAGATGCATGTGAATAGCTTATTCAGTGAAGTTAAACAAACAGTATCTAACACCACTTCATCATTAAGAAGGAGCAAAGCCTGTACTCCAAGGAGAAGTTCTATACGTGGAAAAAGTGGAGCTATGGGTACTATTCACTCCAAAAGACGAAGTGGTGCTTCTGAAGCCAACTTGATGGGTGTGTTACAATTGTATCTATTGCTAGATAATTTACAAAAACAGAATTAAATCTTTTATGTTTCAAACACAGTATAACTTGATTATATATCGGATATTTTATTAAAAATGATTAAGGTGAATAATCTTCAACAATTGTTGTTTTAGTTGCGAAGTCTTGGGCAGAAGTAGTAAAACAAGGTGTTCCAAAACTACAGCTGAAGTCTGCTTCAAAACGGGGGTTTAAAACAAGATCAATGAAGAACGTGGCTTCAAAATCATCAAAGGTATAGTCAAAACAGATAATGGTATAAGTAATAACTTTTTTTCCAAGTGCTGGACTTCAAGAATCTGGACTCTTAAGTACTGTGAAGATTCTTTTGATGCTCTGTTAATCCTAAATTCTGTCTCTAGTATTTCCAGGTACAATTGTTTACCTTTTATTAATGGAAAATGACCAACAGTTTTAATAGAAGATATGGGGTAATTTGAAAAATTCAACCTATTTTAAAACAGTTTAAGATCTTTTACTGTTAATTGAAGACAAATATTCTATAGCGCAACGTTTTGGAGAATAAAAATGACCTGAATTGCCATGATGAAGTATAAAGGTAGGAATGCACATTTTAGAAATTGCTATTTCTAAAATTAAAATGGATTGAGGAAAATAATGGATGAACTATATCTAATAAACAATAGAAAGAAAGCATATGTAGCAACCATGAGATAAGTGGGATATGGATATTATCCATAGGCAAAAAGTAGCAATTTCAAATAGCCATGCTTGCCACTCAAAATGCAGATTAAATAAAGTAAGCTAAATAATTTTTAAAAACTGCTTCCAAAACAGCTAACAGAAATAGCTGAAGTAGATGTAAGTAAACGTAAATTTCACTTTTCTTGCTTAAAAGCAAAAGAATGGTAGCTTTCACTGTAATAAGGGTTAAGGCAAAAAAATATATATGCTGAAATTGATTAACCAGAATATATATCAGCAACATTAAGCCTTCCAAAGCAGTGTTAGCCACTGAAATAAATACATTACATGATTAAAATATTTAACAAATATTGATATTACCAAAATTCATCATATTACGAATGAATTAATGAAATGTATTTGATACTTCTAAATGTGATAATCATCACAATCATACGAACTTATGTGCTTTTAATTTTTCTCAGTCATGAAGTAATAGAAATAATAAGCATGATTGTAATAGCTTTGCAGTTACTATACTGCTTTTCAAACAACACATGAATTCTTCAGTTTATTATGAGAGAAATGCAATGGATGAATAGCAACTGAGATAAAAGCTCAGAATATATTGTTTCTTTTCAGCAGCAAAAAAAGGTTGAAAGGAAATGTAGGAAACATGCTGAAAATACTTTCTATGCAAGGCAAAATTTTGTGATATCGTCCTGTGCCAGGGCCCAAATATAACTGCCCAATGAGACTATTAGTACTTTGGTTTAGAATACTGGGGAGTGACAACACAATTAAAATGAAATGCCTGTGTTGAATAAGACCTCAAGTCTCCACACAATTATATCAACTGACTTACAGCACATCCAATATGTTTAGGCTGTGTTATCTGCAGCTAATGAAAGTTGGCATTGTATCCCCTTCTTCAAAGAGGGGCTACACTAATAATTGTATTATTTTATTATGTATGGAGAAGAAGAAAAGTGTTGTAGTCACAGATGAGGGTGAGATTTTCAAGCCAAAAATGTTGCTTAATTTTTCAGCAGCAAACCATCCTAAATGAATTAATAATAATAATAATGAATGCCAGCCGAAAATACAAATTTAGACATACTTGTAAATTGAAAATTTAAATAAAGTATTTTTAAATGCCAATGGAGATTCTCAACTATCTGGGCCATGGTTGTGCCAAAAATGCTTTTCAAAAGGCAAGTTACCTTTTGAAAAGCATTTTTGGCACAACCATGGTTTTTTCCATGAAAACGTTTCGCTTCAATTCTGAAGAAGCTTCTTGGATAAGAAGCAAAACATTTTCAAGGAAAAAAAACAAAGTCCAGTTGCCTTTTGAAAAGCACCTTTGGAACAGCATTTTTAAAGTTTATACCTAATACATTTATGACAATAATATTTATAGTTGATTTCAGTCTTGTTGGAAGAAAATTAGAAAAGACTTTTTCCTAGTCTTCTCTCCCAGGTCATTTGCCTTGAACTTCTGAGCTTCCAGTTTGCTGAACTAGTGACTATCTTCTCTACTCGTGCCTCACCTACATAAATTTGACAATCTCTTTTCTGCAGCCCATCACTGCCTGATTCTAGCTACCCCATCAGATCTGGCAGATATCGTAGAAAAGTCTATTGAGCCTTGAGGTGCTTGTTTTCTATGAACTTTTGTTCTTTTACCAATTTCCAACTTCTCAAACTTGTCATTTTAATACTTATTAAAAAAAACTCTAAATAGTTCTACTTCACTGCAAGAACGTAGCTGCTCTATTTAATAGTCCTCCGCTCCACCTCTCCACTTCTGGTATATGGTCCAGAATGCGGCCGCGCGGGCGGTGTTGGGAGGGACTCGTCGCTCCCATGTGACACCGCTGCTGCGCGAGCTGCACTGGTTGCCAGTGGCCTTCCGGGTGCGCTTTAAGGTGTTAGTTACCACCTTTAAAGCGCTTCATGGCATAGGACCCGGTTATCTCCGAGACCGCCTTCTGCCACAGATTCCCTCCCATANCCTAGGGAGGATTTTATATTGGGTTCATTTTAAGGAATTTGTAAACAACACAACTCTAAAATTTGGTTTAATTCGGTTTTATAGGGGGGGATTGTATATACACCTTTGTTTTAAATATATGTTGTGAGCCGCCCTGAGTCCCGTCCGGGAGAAGGGCGGGATATAAATTAAAATAAATAAATAAATAAATAAATAAATATGTGTCATAGGGTATATGCTTCTATGGAAGATGCTAACAGTGAATAGTAGGCACAAACTCTTCTCACAGTTATTTAAAACTCTTCTCTTTTGAAACATTCTCTTTTTTTCTTTATGTACTACAGTGCAATGCACTGTACTGACTTGGCTATACCTGAGATGATCTAGTAATTTTTAAAAAGTGAATCTTCTAAACTGTAAGCGACCATATAGTGAATCCAAAGAAATGGCTTTCTTTCTGACAATTAAAAAAATTGGATTGAATTGGATTAAAAAATTGGATTAGTGTCATCTGGAAGGAAAAAAGAAGTTCCCAATGTTTCTTGGATTGTTCTGCCACCAGAACGTTGTTTGCACATTATTGTATTCTTCCCTTTCTTTTTATAGTTCCAGAATTGTTTGAAGAAAACCTGGTGTAGTTTCAGCCTATACAAATTCACCAGTTAAAAGTTTTCTCAAAAGATCATACAACATATTACCCAGAATTGAAATAAATGTGAAATTTTTTATTATCACTAGAGTTTTAAATTTATATTTGTATATATAGTGGCATGTTTCGTTAAACTGATTTTTAATATGTTCTGCTTTTAGAATAACAATTTAGCAAAAACACCAAAAAGAAAAATCAGCGGTCACTTCTCAACAGGACATGCAAATTCTCCTGCTCCAATTGTGATTGGAAAAGCTCATACTGGAATTTTGAACGTAACTGCACAAGTTCCTAAAGTGGTGATCAATTATCCTTTGAAACAGCATTGTGACCTCGATGACAGTTTTACAGGTAAACTTTTAGACTTCATTTAATGCAGGGGTAGTCAACCTTGGCTCTTTTATAACTCGTGAACTTCAATTCCCAGAATTCCTGAGCCAGCTTAGCTGGCTCAGGAATTCTGGGAGTTGAAGTCCACGAGTCATAAAAGAGCCAAGGTTGACTACCCCTGATTTAATGTAAGTTTGTGTACCAAATAACATGAGTTCATGTTTCCTGTTTAAAAATAAAATGTCATAGAGAAAAAATCTTGTATGTTATATGATAAACTATTTTGTATAACTGTGACACTATGTAGAGCCAATCAGCAATATATAGTATTTAACCAGATGATAATAATAATTGCTTTTTCAAGATTAAAAAATATGTCCTCCTATACCTTAGAATGTCATTTATTTATTGCAATTTACTGTATGTTTCCATCATCTCAACATAGCGATTCTGGGTAGTTTATAGCAGTTAAAAACAGAACAGCAAAATAAAATACACAACCAGCAACCAAGTTAAAAAGCAATCAAACAACAATTAACATAGAGTGGGGTAGGTCTTTTTGAACTGAACTATGAGTGAAGGATAATATGTACAGATACTGTTTTATAAACTCTGTGCTGATAATCCATTATCCTGGTTTACCTGCTGCTGTTGATTCCAGCAATTGATGATGGATGGATATAGTACTGCTATGAATTGCTTTGTTACTGATTTAGAAAAAGTGCCTTAGAGCAGACATGCACAAATAATTACATATCCAACACTTTAAAGCAGCTGTATATTTTCCTAGGAGTGTACAGTTCCTTTTCTGATGTGCCATGTGATGCAGATGCTTTAAAGAGCTACAGAAAAACATTATTTTCATTCTGCACACTAGAGACATCCCTTAAATCTATACAAAATGTTTTTATCTTGAAACATTTGCCCTCAAAGCATCTCATGGATAGATTATGTGAGCTCTGTAAATGTTGGGGTTCTTCGGGCAAATAATATAAATAGATTTATGTGATAAATTTGCTTTATGCTTTATGCTCCTACGTCTGTTGAGGTAATATAAATGGAAATATCACATTGCAGTGGTTATTAAAATACTAGTGCACATGCTCTTAAATTTTGTCATCTAAATGTTCAGAAGAAATTCAGACATATTAGCGCCTTTTTTTGAGGTGAGCAGTTGTCTTTTTAAACTAAAATAATATGGTTGCATTTGAGCAGTCTGCAGAGAACAAAAAGATCATACAGAAAATTGGCAAAGAGATGATTGTTTAGAAAAAACCCACCAAATATAAATAAAAGAATAGTGAACTAATGAAAGGATATTTAATAGAATATAGATAAATGATATGAATTTTCTAAACAAATGCAAATAATGAAATAAAGTTGATAAGAGTATGTAATGTGCATTTAAAACATTGCATTCAAATCTAGAAAAAAAACATCAAGAGGACTACTTATTTGTTGTAAAAAATCTCTCAAGCTGTAAATTTTGGATTTTCCTGCAGAACTCTGATGTTAGAAATGATTTTTCCATGAGCAAAAGAGATTCCATTGGTGCAGACTTAACCAATTGCTAAGTTTTTTTAAACATTTGAACATTCTTATTGTCTGTGTTTATCTACAGAGAGGAAATAAAATCAAGATTGATTTTATTGATTAAGAAATTGTGATGCACTTACAAAAAAATGTGAGAAATTAGATTTGCAGTGGTTGTTGATTTTCTTAAAGGTTACCAATATATCAACTCCTAGCTTTGCCAACAGATGGTGCTATGATTGTGTAAGAATGTAACCTATTAGCAAAGTACTGTATATACTTCCTGATATAATTGACCATGATCATAAGCCTGAACTCAGTCTTTATATCTTCTGGAGAATTACAAGAAACTATCTGGTAATAAGAGATTCTCAGCAGAAGGTCCATGATCAGTGAGGTTGGTGGTGGGGCTTTGGTGCATATTGCAATATTAACAGTGGTAATGGAAACTATAGAAATTTAGAATTGAAAGCAATACTACTAGCCTTAAATCCTTCCCCCCTTAGCAGCCTACATTTGAATCAAGATTTCTGATAGATGGAGAAAGATTTGCAGAGATTTTCTTGTTCTTCAAAATTTCAAAACAGAAAAATCATTGTATAAATAATCTTTATATAATCTAAGTTGGTGCAAAATGTTTGCATGCATAGTCATCTTTATATTGCTTAGTTGCAATATAACAACACACATACAACCCATTCATCCAGCTACTTGTGCTCTCAAGTTCTATTGCAAACTTTTCCTTTTTTTTTAACAATAATTATCTAGTCAGCACTGAGCAAATTCTTTTTTGTTGGGCTGTATGCTTAACTCCTTTCCTAAGAACATTTATCTCCTACATCACCCTGTCCATCCTAAACCAAGAACTTAGTTTCCTGCTACTGAGGATGAAATATGTTTAAATGACTCCCATAAAACAGTAGCTTGAGTAATATTGCTGAAATAAGTGGAAACACTCAAAATGAGACAAATAGCCAAACTTTATTTCACAGAACCCTTGAAATTGCCATATTGAACTAGAACATTTGTACATCTTACTAAATAATGGATTATTATTTTCAGTGTAAGATTGACATAGTTTTTTATGGTGACCACTCTGTCTTTATTGCACTACATAATTTAGTTGGTTTGTAAAATGATATTTTAAATGTAATATAATTAAAGCACAAAAATAAAAAGCTGGCCTACTAAAGCCAGCATCCATATAAACTGCTCCCCCCTCCACAATTAGATTTTAATTAAAAGTAATTTAATAACACTTGAACTGCTTTCCAATATGCTATTAGGGAGGAGCCATTGAATTATTGGAGGTAAAATAGACAATAATGGGAAATATAGAAAGAAAAGTGGCCTTGCTTTCTCTAATCACATGCTGTGAGAGAAATGCCGTCTTTTCCCTTTTTTAATTTATTGTATTTATCAAATATATTTGGGCAGTTTAATCTGAGACCCAGAAATCTCACTTTCCTTAGATTTACTGGGGAATTTTCCAGTCATCCTTTTTGGGACATACTTCTTTCAACAGCACTTTCAACAGAAATGAGATCATTAAGCTAGATAGTTCTTACACCCTCCCTCTCTATAGTCTGCAGTCGGTTTAGGGAAACCTACCATACCTCATTGCTGGGGATAATCAGGTTATCAATTGCTATGGTGATCCAAGGGACCCATGGATCTAGACATGAAGCAGCACATAGAATATTGATTATGTGCCATTAAGTTATTTTTGACTCCTAGTAACAAGGTTTTTCCCCATGTTGATCTGTCAACAGTGCACTAATCAACACTGCAACTGAATCTGTCCACCTTGCAGCTGATCTTCTCTTTCCTAGCATTAGCATGTTTTATAGAGAACACAATAAAAGACATCTGCTTTTCTCCTGTTACCACCTTACATGTGGTCTCATATTTTTGGATCAGACAAGCAGTTCTTCCTAATTTGTCCTGCTGATCCAAGTACTTTGTTTTCCCAAGAGCTTGAAAAGTGACTTCCTCTCCCTGTGGGGAAGCATAGCTAAGGAGAGTATCATTGTGCTTGATTTGCAGAGCATTTCAGCAGGGGCTGCCTTGACAACTACCAAAGATAAAAATGCAATTGCTCCTCAGTTGATTTTTATTCTTTTCCTCAAATCTTATTGAGTCTTCTAAAATAAGTGAGCATTCTACACTGCTGATTATGCGTTAGTTGTGGGAAATACCCCTTTAGCATTAGATATGAGTTCCCTGGTGCTGTTGATTGTTCACTTCCCATGACAAAGAAAAGGGAAAATAATAGAAATAGAACAGCAATTAGGAATTGACTGCCACAGATTCCTGGACACTGCTTTCACACAGCAGTTTCAGTCTTCTAAACAAGCAGGTCTTTAAGGTTCTTAGTCCAATTAACATTCAATCTATTTTTGGACCTAGGTATAGTCAAGGGTTTTCTAGTAGCTTGATACTCAACCACCGATTCCTATTTCCAAGATACATTGGGTTATTTTCATAAAATTAATGGGCCATCTGGACGTCAGCAAAGTAGTCCAACTATACCTAGATACAAATGGGTGCCTGGAAGTAGAATGCCAAGCCTTTCAAACCCACTTCTATGCCACTTATCCTGACAGTTGGATGAGGAGCCTGGCCCCTCTACTTGCACTCAGGCTGAGACACAGCTGTGCTGGGAGCCTGAGTTGGACAGTGAGGAAGAATAGCTGGGAAAAATCCTGGATGCACGAATGCGCAGGCATGAGAAGCGAGTAGGACAGAGGAATGCAATGGGGCTGCTCCAAAGGCAAAGGAGAAGGCATTAGGAAGCCACGCCTTGGCTGAATTATAAAAGGGAAAGTGTGGGAGGTGCTGGTTGCCAAAGGCAACCACTTGTGTTGAGGATTTGTTTGCCTTGGACATTGACCTCAGGTCTGGGAATAAAAGGGGTTGGTTTTTTCTTGCGATTCTTGCCTGTTTCTTGGAAGAGGGGTTTCTCCTTGTGAGAATAACAAGGACTCACGTAGGCTGGGACAGAACAACATCTTGCAGAACATTAGTGATCTAGATATGTAAAATAGTTATTTTTTTCTACTGAAGCAAGAGGGAAGAGATTGTTAGGGTTTACTATTTTTTGGAAATTGGACTTTTTGTAAGCAAGTCTTTCCAAGCCTGTCTGTCTATTGCTAGGAGTCAAAAGACTTGCATATAAATGTTTTAATAAAATAACTTTTGATCAGGATTTGAAACCCATTAAGATGACTCTTTTCATTGACTTCATCTACATGCATCTATACATTAAGATATTCCTTTGTAGAACTTCTTTTCTGATATCTTCCTGTGTTGACAAATGTGTTTAAGATTGTATAGTTAACTTCAGACCCCAGTGTGTTACATATACCTGTGAGCAGTTCAACCAACTTTCCCATCAATGCTTTGCTGAGTATACAGTATATGAAGAGTAGCCGCAAGTTACTAAGCCTTTCCCTTTGTGAGACAATTCAGCCTTAATTCAGGGGTATTATCAGATGCTTCATTTGACACAAGAGGCTTGCAACAAATAGTGCCTTGTTTCTAAATCTACTTAGAAAGAAATACCCAACTTATTTGGATTGATTTTATAGGATTTTTAAAGCCAGAAAATGCTGGGCTTAGAATGACATTTTTTGCTGTGGCTTCAGAATTTTTAAAGAATTTTGTCTGTCCTAGGAAACAATTTCTTAATACCTGTTTTTTATAACTATATCTCGTCTATCTTTAGACTTGGAACTTGCATTGACATTGATTTCCAGTCTCAAAACTACATAAAAACTATTATCTCTTCTTTATTGTCGCTTTTTATCCTCACTAGAGGTGTACATAAAACAGGAAAAATTATTTAATTTTGAATCCAGAACAAAGCCATCGGTCTCCAGAGTTTCTGATAAATAGTAATGGGCTGGTCATGGTTCAGCAGAACCAAAACCCAAAATGCAGTTGTTCCATATTCCAGATGAAACAATCCAAAATTGCCAAGCAGAGCAAGGCTGGTGTATTCCACTTCCTTTATCCTTTCATTAGCTTCCAGTACAATGTATCCCACACACCCATTAAGGCCCCAGTCTCCTGAGTACCTTTTCTTCGCTCCCTTCAGCCTCTGCTCCAGTAAAATATATTCTATTTTTTATCCATGGAAAACTATAAATTGCTCATGGTTCAAGATGCTACTTTAAACAAGGCTGTTTTTTAACTGGGAAAGCTGCTGCTCATGGGCCAAGATGGCACTTGAAACAAGGCTATGTTTTTACTGGAAAAGTTGTTGAGGCAGCACTCACTAGCCTGGCAGTTCCACTCATAATAAATCTTAGACTTCAGAGAGGGGAAAAGGAAGATGATTTTTTTTCTTCTGTTAAACATTAAGGAGAGATACACATTCATGTATAAGCACACACCATTTGTTACAAATTATAATTGATAAATGTAAGCCATATTGACAGAAATCTACTTATAGTTACTGTTATAGCACTATAGAAGCAATCACAAGTTTTATTTTATTTTGCAAGGCAAATTAATTACTTACGCCATAATTTGTAGTAGAATTTGCTCTTAAGATGGTGTTTGATAGAAAGTATGCACAATCCCCTGAAAGCTTCAGTTTGTAGGAATTTTTATCCTGGTAAATGATGTTAAATCCTTTGCCTTTAAATGTGCTATGAACATTAATATTTAAAAATAATGCTGAAATCTGATTGCATTACAAATCTAGGGAGCAATCAAGTGAAGAAAATACATTCTTTATAGTTTAATTACATTACATGAACATTAATAGATTTAAATGTTATTTGCAGGGTTGGCTGAAATGTTCTGCAGTCCATCAAATGCAAAACAGAAAAGTTTTGTACCAGAAACTCAGATATCAAGACCAGAAATGAATGCATCAGAAGAATCTGGTATGTTTTATTGTATATACATTCTGAATAATGACCTTCATACATGCATTTAGTGTAGATTACTTTGTCATTCATCCCAAAGATAACTCCTACAAATCAATAAGGTTTGGTTTTTAGAATGGAAAGAGACCTCTTCTACATCAAGACCTCTCTTCTCTGAGACTATTAAGGCTATGTGGAGTTCTTCCCTTATTGTTGTAGAAGTTTCAGGTCAGTCTTTCCTTGCAGACCTCACCAGAATTTCAGGTGTGCTTTGAGTAAGAAGCAAATCCCCTTAGGGATACAAGCCAAATAAACAGTGTCATGGTTCCGACAGATGTTACTCTTCAAAGAACTTCGAGGCATTGTTTACCTTAAAGAATCTTTATTCAAGTAGCATGGCATCGGCACGTACATGGTCGAAGCCAAAATCTGAAGTCCCCTCCCCTAAACACATAATATCAAAGCACAATTCCCTCCTCCAATTAACAGTCAAAAATCACACTCTCCAATTAGTTTGAAATGCAAACCTTCCCTCCAGTTCCATAACCTGCCATTTCTTATCGTCTCTTATTTCGAACAACCTTGAAGAATACTCTACTGCGATGTTGTTATGTCTAACTAATCCCCATTCACATTCTTCCCCCTCCCCCCTCAGCATCATTTCATTCTAACTCTAAAAGTAACACGCAGGTTAAAGAGAAAATGGCTACATCTTCATATATTGTCAAAGCAACAACATCCAATGTTAGCAGCGTTGACAAAAAGGCAGAGAATGATGGATAGATGTATGAGTTTTTATTAAGTCACTGAGCTACATCAGGTTGTGAATACTGAATAAAATATATGGTCTAATCCAGAGAGTTCCCTAAGCTTTGCGGACCGGGGGGGGAGAGGGGATGGTTCTCCGCGAGAGGCCAGCAAATAAACCCAAAGAAAGTGATAATGAAAACAGGACATAACCTGTCATTCCTTGCATTACTCTGTAAAGATGTTTTAGGGGAAAATGAAATAATTAAGCAGTTGAGATAACATCCATTAAAGGTGCAACAGTTTTAATGGCTTCAAATTTAGGTCTCAGGTTAGAGAAATACATACAACTGTTTCTGGATTTGATTTCACAATTTATATTAGTGGAATAAACATACTGTCCTCTATTTATTTATTTATTTATTTATTTATTAATTACATTTATATCCCGCCCTTCTCCTTGCGGACTCAGGGCGGCTGACAATTGGATAAAATACTAACATATTATACACCTAATTAAAATTTGATTAAAAAGAAATATTTAAATTTGTCAGATTAAAAGTAATTAAAACCCCTTTAAAATCCCTTAGGCCAGTCCCGCAAGC